CTTGGTTTTATTTTGTTGTTCTTTTTCTAATATCTTGAGTGCTATTCATTTATCTTCTTTTTTGTTGGTTTAATTAGAAAGGCATTTGAGGCTATGAAGTTTTCTATATTCCACAAGTGCTGATTCATGATATTCTTGTTGTTTTATTTTCTAATTTCGTTAATTCACAAAATTCTTCATTGAATGACTTCTATAATAAGAACTGAAATAGTGTGCCTGAAATAGTGAACAATAAGGAACTTGAATCCTTGTAGGTAATGTATTTCTTTTTCTGTGCTAACTGGAAAAATGTACAAATGGAACTATATCTATACTAAAACTTTTGAATTCTAAAATTATCAAAAATATGAGAGCCTAAGCAATTAAAATTGGTACACTTCTGTCTTTATTTTAATGGCTATATGTAAAAATGAAATATCTTATTAATATGACATGGCAATTTATGTTTCTTTATATTTGGAAAGCTGCTGGAGAGAAACTTACTATGACCATAAAATAATCTTTATATGATTTGCTATAAGGATTTAAAGATGCATTTTCTTTTGTCTTCTCTAATCATCTCATTATTAAAACCAAAGTTACATCTTTTTTTCTTTTTTTGTGTGTGAGGAAGATTAGCCCTGAGCTAACATCTGTTGCCAATCCTCCTCTTTTTGCTGAGGAAGACTGGCCCTGGGCTAACATCTGTGTCCATCTCCCTCTACTTTATATGGGACACCACCACAGCATGGCTTGACAAGCGGTGCATCAGTCCACCCCCGGGATCCAAACCTGAGAACCCGGGGCCGCCAAAGCGAAGTGCGCGAACTTAACCGCTAGCCACTGGGCTGGCGCCCAAAGTTATATCTTTTTATGCCTAATGAATTCATTCCTATGAGGCTATCAAATATCATCTCTGGTCCATGTTATCGCAGTTTAGAACCTGGACTCTCGTGCCAATATTTATTAGCTCTGTGACATCTGGCAAGTATCTTAACCTCTTTGTGCTTCAGTTTCCTCAAATGTAAAGTGGAGATAACCACAGTACCTACCTCATAGGATTTTCCCAGGGGTTAAGAGTTCAAAATGTAAAGTTCTTAGAACAGTGCTGGGGACAATGTTACTGCTGTGTAAATTAGCTATTTTTATTGTAATCCAGAAGCAATCACAGCCACCTCCGTTGAAAATTTTTTTGCAGATTTCCTTCTCATTACTAGAGTGACCTTTATGTGTAAGAGATATTATATAAATTGTCATAATCTTGTCCCAAACCCAGGGATATAGGTGTTATTATTCTCCATATGGGAAGCTAAGAGAAGTGAAATAATTGTTCAAATTCACAAAATAGTAAGTGACAGAACTGGGATTTGAATCCACATCTGGCTGTCACTAGTCCATGCTCTTTCCATTACATCACTCAGTGTGATGCCACCACTCTCTATAAAATCCACCACCATAACCTCTTTCTGCCCTCACTAAACAGAGCTTCATCTTTTTTGGTATGCTGACAAGACTGTAATTATAGCAACAATATAGTACCTCTGTACTGGAATTAAACTGTAGGTATCTGATGACGTTAATGATTTACTGCTGCTTATCTCAGCTTGTTCGAGATAAACTGTCAATCAATACCCAGCCTTTAGATTTTCTCTATGTCAGCCCTCCCCCTTACCAGCTTCACATGAGTGTTTATGAATGCCCGTCTCTAGCTCTCTGGGCAGTCTCTTGGCATGAAGGTGCTGCACGATATAAAATGCCAATGGATCAATATTGCACAAGATTCCTAGAGTTCAAGTAGGAATGGGAGGAAAATGGCTGCTTTCCAAGGTTGGGAGAAGAGGAGTAGTTGCTGGGAACCTTCTCCCAAGACCTATAAATAAAGGAGGCTTTGATTGTGTGCATTCAAAGACCTATGCTCCATCCAGGTCTGCATGTCCATGAAGCCACATTCTCTGGTCACTCCAATCCAGCGTGCTGACTACTGCCCCTCCCACCTCTTACAGTACCCTTGAGTCATGAAGTGGTTGCTTTTAGTCTGGATTGTTCTATGCGTTGTCCAGTCTGTCCAACAAAATGGTAACTTCCATGTCTTTTCTTTTATCCTCTGCCAAGTAGGAACCATGCAGTGACTGTTATCTTTTTTTTATTATGGTAAGATATAAATAACATAAAATTTACCTTTTTTGTGTGTGTGAGGAGGACTAGCCCTGAACTAACATCTGATGCCAATCCTCCCCTTTTTTCTTGAGGAAGATTGGCCCTGGGCTAACATCCGTGTCCGTCTTCCTCTACTTTATGTGGGATGCCACCACAGCATGGCTCAACCAGCAGTGTGTCGGTGTGCGCCTGGGATCCAAACCTGCGAACCCCGGGCCACCGCAGAGGAGCGCGCACACTTAACCACTGCGCCACTGGGTCGGCCCCTCATTTTAACCATTTTTAAGCGTCCAGTTCAGTGGTATTAAGTTCATTCACATTATTGTGCAACTATCATCACCTCCAGAACTTTTTCATTATCCCAAACTGAAACTGTGTACACATGAAACAATAACTTCCCATTCCTCCCTCCCCTCAGCCCCTGGCAATCACCATTCTACTTTCTGTTTCTATGAATTTGACTACTCATATAAAAGGAATCAATCATACAATTTTTTTCCTTTTGTGTCTAGCTTATTTCACTTAGCATTATGTCTTCCAGGTTCATCCATGTTGTAGCATGTGTCAGAATGTCATTCCTTTTTATGGCTGAATAATATTCCATCGTGCGTATATACCACAGTTTGCTTGTCCATTCATTCATTAATGGACATTTGGGTCGTTTATACATTTTGGTTACTGTGAATAATGCTGCTATGAACATTGGTGTACAGATGTCTGTTTGAATCCGTGCTCTCAATTCTTTTGAGTACATACCCAATAGTAGAATTGTTGGGTCATATGGTAATTCTGTGTTCAACTTTTTTTGGGAACCGCTATACTATTTTCCACTATTTTCCACAGTGCCACACTACTTTACATTCCCACGAGCAATGCAGAAGGATTCCAATTTCTCCATATCCTCCCAACACTTATTTTACTATCATTCTTCTGACTTAATCCTCATGAAAAATGAATAATTACTACTCTAACTAGCATTGCATTTCACAGTTGACAATTTTTTTTGCATATATTACCTCTTTTGACCTTCATAATAATCTTTGGTCTAAGAATTATATTTATATCATGAAAGAATAAATTGAAGCTGAAAGGTGTTACATCGCTTGCCCAAGATCACAGAGCTAACATATGGAAAAGTCAAATACATAACTTTACTCCTGATTCTTTTTATTATTTGGAGAATTAAACAATCTATGTTCTTCGAGATTTTATCCTGCACTCTGTTCACTCTAAATTATAGCAAAAGACAAGCTCATATATTGAGAAAAGATTCCAGAAAAGTATACCTGCTGTTCTCCCACATCTCCTAATGTAGCAAAGAAAATAAATGGCTTAAATAAGTAGCAGGAAGGATTTAGGTTAGATATTAACTGGGTGGCTGATGTTGGTGAGACATTAGAAAAGATTACCAAAGGATACTTTGAGATAATTCAAGTCCTGAAAAATGCTATGGATGTGATTCCACCCTAGTACGTGCCTGAGGGCACAGGAAGTAATTCAATGAATCCTTGTTAATTTTTGAAAATGGGGGATAAACTGGATGACTTCACATAGCTTCTTGGAGTTCTCTGATTCTATAACAAAGATTCTACCAAATGGATTTGTGCTACTCAAGAAAGTTGTTCTTTGGTATTTGGGGATGGATCTTGTTTTCTTAACTCTTTCATCCTTGATCTCTGGAGAATGCAGATCCCCTCACTCAATTCCATTTTATACCCTCAGAGAAAGGGGTTCACCAAGCCTCAAAGGAGAGGTCAGAGATGACCTAACTCACCTGGGGTCCTGAGCCACTCCTTGGGCAGTTAACTTCCTATACCATTGTTGATTTGGTTTCACTCTGCTCCCCAGGGAGATTTGAAGGAGTTGCAATTTTGGCCTGAGATTAAAGGAGACAGCTTCAATTTCCAACCTTGATGGGTTCTCAGTGCTGTAGCATAAAGAAAGGACAAAGTAACTGATTTAAGACAATAAGCCTAGAAGAAAATACCTAGTGGGAAGATAAAATTATCTGGGTATTTATCTAGATTCTGCTACCCATCAGCTATCTGGCTGAGAGCAGCAGTCTGTAGGGTATTTAGAAGTTCATGTGATTTTACTCACGCTGGGCAGTCCCTCCCCTTTCTTGCAGAACTGTAAATTGTACACCTTTTAGTGACCCTGTAAGCAAGACTAATTCTGCTTCCTTGATGTGTTTAATATCCATGTGATTTACTGTCCTCTCTATTCAAAAGGAAGAATCAGAACTTCCTACCTCACTGTTGTTAGAAAGCTAAATAATAAACCTTTTTGAAAAGTAGCATGCATTCCAAGCGATTTAGAGAACTTTTCAGGAGAATGTTGAAATTAAGGAAAAACTATACTAGAAATCATTTAACAAAATGCTTGCTGAAAAATTAAGGTAATGTGCTATGGGAACAAAGGTGGTAATAAGTTAGTAATGCACATCTGAAACTAAACAAGATAAAAATAAGATAAAAAGATAAAAATAAGCAAATTATTATTATTATTTTTTTTAAAAGCAAAAGTACTGCCTCTCACCTACATCTTCTTTCTTTCCTTTCCCATTCTTTGAAGCCCCCTTGTTGAGGGCCTTTTCCTCCTATGCTGTAAATGACCAGCGAAGAACTGGGTTTAGAGGGGCCATCACTGAAACATCGCTTTAGTAAACAGTCCAGCTTTTCCAACAGGCCAGCACTGCTAACCTGGAGCAGTGATCACACTGTTCCTGCTGGATGCAGGACATTCAGAGTGCAGAGCTGGAGAGAGTACTCAGTGAAGATCCTGTCCAGCCAACCCTGTCGTTGTGCAGATGATGAAACTGAAGCCAGGAGAGGTGCCAATTATCTTTCGTTTACATTTCAGAGTTGGAAATTGAAGAATGCAATGGAAAGCAAGGTGAAAAAGGAAAGGGTGCCCCTATTAATCCCAGATCCAGGGAGCCATCACTTGTAAGTAGACCTGCCTTCAGATGTCCCATTGGGTCTGCAGAGTTTACAGAAAAACTTAAGATCACTCCAAACCAGGTATGGTCTCAATAAATACATGGAGTTAAGGCCAACAGAACCTGGCTTAGCACTTAGCTGATTCTCATTCTCACCAGAACTCCCTTCTAAGCCTGGATAACTTCACATAATGTTAGAAACCACCCTCCAAAGATCTGCCTCTTTCCCTCTGCAGGGCAGCTGGAGGCTTCTATTGCAGCCCTAATCAGTGCAAGATGAACACAAATCTACAACCTCCATTGCTCGGTTTTCACCCATTCTAGGTTGCTTTCTTTCGAATTTAATTGCCTGAATTTTAGTGTCTGTGATAAGAACTCAGGGGTAATATCACACACCTCTGGAATCCTTCCACCGATTAAGGGATGTGCCCTGCAAGTGACGACCGCAGGATTTGGCCAATTACAAGTGCAGGATTTTCTCTGCACTGCCAGGATCTTCACGGAGAATGTCCTGCTGTGCACACTCCCATGGAGCTGGGTTGATTTCACAATTTTTCACACCCTGTTGTAATATACTGCTCATCTCGAACAAAGTCCCTGTCCAAGTATGCTTTGATGTTTTACGCAATAAATTGGAAAATTCAGGATTTAAACATCAAAAGTAGAAATCCATATTTTTCTTTTTTATTCTGAAAGATTTAATATGTTAATTTTGTATTTAATCACAAAAGAGCATGGTGAACAAAATGTGGTGGGATCGTGAGAATGTTTTTCTTTTTTAATACTTTTATATAACTTGAAAATTTTCTACAATGAAAATTTATTGTATCTATGAACCAGAAAAATGTTTTAAAGAATCCCACCAGGTGTAGCGGGGGTTGTTGGGCCTCTGAGGGGCTTTGTGACATTAGATCTTAATAACTCCCTCACCTCGAAGACGAACTGAAACCCTTTGACTTCCAGGCTGTTGGCTACATTGAGGTTTTATGACTCCGTGAAAGATCTAAACTCATCATCATTAAAAATGGATCTGTAGGGCCGGCCCCGTGGCTTAGCGGTTAAGTGCCGGCACTCCGCTGCTGGTGGCACGGGTTCGGATCCCGGGCGCACACCAACGCACTGTTTCTCCGGCCATGCTGAGGCTGCATCCCACATACAGCAACTAGAAGGATGTGCAGCTATGACATACAACTATCTACTGGGGCTTTGGGGGGAAAAATAAATAAATAAAAATCTTTAAAAAAAAATGGATCTGTAGGGCCTCGGGGATGTTTTTGATATTAGTTTTATTGTTAAAAAACCCAGATTTGGAGCTGGAATGCTCCAAGAAATCTCTACTTGAGGAATTGAAGGGAAGGCAAGTGGTTCTCCAGGAGAGGGGGAGTGAGGGTGTTATTAATAGCCCCATAATTTCTGCTGCTTTGGTGTTTTCCTCAGTGTGACTAACTAAAATGCTCTTTGTTCTTTGTTCCAGAGTCAGAAACATCCCTGCCACGCAGCATGTAGATTTATAACTCTGGGCAAAGGTTTTGACAAATACAATTTCTTCACTCCAAAGTCCATCTATGTATGTTCCCCGAAATAAAGAACAGTGCATGTCTGTGTACTGGTCTCTAATCCCAGGACCCTGGGAGCAGGGGCAGGAGGAGTTTCTAAAATGTCTTCTCATAGCTCCGGCAATAATGTCTAGCTCAAACAGGCTGGCACTGCCATGGGGACATCCACGGACTTTTATTTATCACTCTCTTTTTTTCCAACTGAGATAGAGTCCACACTGACACAGGCAGTCCGGGAAAAAGAAACTGTGTCTCTTGTAACTTTTACTTAGGTGGTGTAAATGGAAAGATCATAACCCAAAGATTTTGTGAAAATATACTTCCTATCCAGACAATCCATTATGATGTTGCAATTGAAAAGTTCTACCTAGAGAAAGAGAATGAGTTAAAACAAACAAACAAACAAAAAGAGAGGACAAGATCTGGGATTAGGTCTGATGATCTGGAACATAAAATTTCCGATTCCATATCTGGGATCCAGGTTCATGGTCTGGGACATAAATCAGAATCTTCAATGGCTGTATTATCCCGCCCCCCACCCACTCCTCCCATGAAGACAGGCAACAGGGAAGGTGCTTGAATTCTTTCAGGCCCCATGGGTGTCACTGAGCAATTTCTTTCTTAGCCATCTCACATAAACCTGGCTGAAATAACAGATAAAGTTCACCTGGGTGCCTGACAGGAGGAGTGCAGTTCAAATGTCCGAAGTCCATGTGTCAATGCCATCTGAAGAACACTTGACTTGAAGACAATGTAATGACACTAAACCCACTCTTGTGAGCAATTTTGTATAAGGCATCCATTTGGGAGCCCAGCCTAAATACTAGTGGCATTCAGTATTATGTTACAATCTGACTTACCGCGTGATTCTGCGGCAGAGTCCAGGTATGGCGTTAATCTTTGAATTACCTAATCTGGGAAGGAGCCAATTGGTCTATGGAACACCTGAAAATGAAACACTACACACCAGAGATGGGAAAGTGTGCCTGCCTTAGAAACTCTGATAAGAGGCCCCTGGAAACTGAAACCACACGAATGCCACCAACATCTTGGTTCTTGAGAAGTTCACTGTGTGGGGGGGAAGCAGATAAAAAATAATGATCTTAAAAACATAATTTAAGTGCTATAGTAAAAGTATGTCCAGGATGCTGTCAGAACACAGAAGAGGGACACCTCATCCAGCCAGACAGTGAGGGCCAGGGAAGGGGGCTGCTATGTCTAGTTACGAGAAATTCAGAGTGCAGTTGTGCATCTTGTCTCGAAGATGACATTTGTACTCCAAATAAATCAGACTCTTCCCAGAACTCTTGCACAGGACTTAGCTCTTATCATAAAAGCTCTATGTATTTATTCATCTGCATCCTCAGTGAATGGAAGAAAGGTCAGAAACGTGTCAATGCTCAGACACAGGCCAGTGTCACTCCTTTTTAACCTATGGTCCACTGCCTTGTCTACCGAGTTACTGAATTAATATTCCTCCCTACATGTTTTTCTTTAAAAAGCCTGTTCTTGCCTGTTTTCCAGTCTGAGCCCCTACTTCTCTTTACATAATTTTTAACAGATCTCTATCTAACCACTTACACAAACTGTTTAACTTCATGCGACATTAGTTCTTCTGGAAGATAAAAGCATAATTGCCTTAGATAAATTTTTTTTTTGGTTTATATTATGCAAGATTTTACCTTACTTGATGTTTGCTATTTTCCCTTCCCCATCTTCTGCATACTTCCAGGAGGTCTCCTGAATAGTCCGTGCTCAAGCAGCATTAGCCTGGAAGTTATTTTCAGTATTCAGGCTTGCTTTATAACTAAAGACCTAGAAACATTTTCATTTCCTGTAATGTTATCTGAGTCAGGTGAGCTGAAAATTGGAGAATGGACTCTATCTGGGGCAGCTTGGAGAACTCAAGGCCCTAAAAGTGAATGCCATCTTCTAATTGCCTGACAAAGCTGTTTATCTTCCACAGCTTAGCACTCTACATGCACAACAGGGTCTGACCAGCCTGAGTCATGACAAAATTAGGCTGGATATTAGAAACCTCTTATCCTTTTATCTTTTCTCATTGGCAATGTTCATGTGTCCATTACGTCTCTGGACTAGAGAGGACAAAGCAGCTCAGGAATTACAAGGATGGGCCCTTTCACTGGCAGGCTGGGGTTATGCCCAGAGTATCCTCTGTATGCATTCACTGTCCTACAGTGAGTCTCTTAGAGTGGAATGATTTGTTGTTGAATAAGCGCCATACTCAAGGATTTTCAGTCTGAGTTTGGATACAATGCAGGGTCACTTCAATTATCTTGGAAATGAGAGTGGTGGTAGCCAGTAAAGAGACTATTTTTGAATAAGATAACATTATCCAAAGCTACTTCTAGTTTGAAAGCAAATATTATGCACCAATTGATATAATCATGCAGATTTTCTTGTTAGATCTGCTAATGTGGTGAATTATCCTGATAGAAATTTTAATAGCTCTGTTGAGATATAATTCACATACCATGTAATTCACCAAATTAAAACACATAATTCGATAATTTGCAGTATAATCACAGAATTGTGTAGCCATCACCACAATCTAATTTGAGAACATTTTTATCACACCAAAAAGAAATCTGGTACCCATTAGCCATCACCACCCACTGTCACCATTTTACCCCTGCCCTAGGCAACCACTAATCCACTTTCTGTCTCTATAGATTTTACTATTATAGACATTTCATATAAATGGAATCATATAATGTGTGGTCTTTTGTGACTGGCTTCTTACATTTAGCATAATGTCTTCAAGGTTTATTCTGTTGTAGCATGTATCAGGGCTTCATTCCTTGTTATTGCCAATAATATTCCATTGTATGGATATACCACATCTTATTTATTCATTCATCAGTTGCTGGACATCTGGCTTATTTTCACTTTTTGGCTATTATGAATAATGCGGCTATGCATTAGACTGCTTTAATTCTGATAATCAGGATATCAAGGTTGGTAACAAAAAATATTTCCTGGACAACACTTAGAAAGCAAAACTGCAAGTAAATTTTCCATTAATCATAACATCCCAAGATTTTTTCTGATTCAGAAAAAAGGGTAGGTAATTTTCCATTCTTGTAAATTATTTCTACAGAGGCCCCTTAGGGAGAAACGGGATAGATTTTACCACTTAGCATAAGATCTGAATCTTGTAAAGCTGTGTTGTCTAATATGACGGCCATTTGTATATGTGGCGTTTACAATTAAATTACTTAAAATAAAATAACATTTAAAATTCAGGTCCTCAGTTGTACTAGCCACATTTCAAGTGCTCAATAGTCACATGTGACTTGTGGCTATTGTATTGGATGTTTCCCTCATTGCAGAAAGTTCTGTAAGACAGGTTTGTTCTAAAGCTGTGGTTCTTAAGTGGTGGTGACGTAACCCCCCCCACCCCGAGAAATCTGGCAATGTTTGGACTCATTTTGTTTTTTCACAAGTTGAGGAAGGGAGGGCAGTACTGGTAGCTAGTGGGTAGAGGCCAGGAATGCTGCCAAATCCTATAATGCACAGGACAGCCTCCACAACAACTAGGCATCCAAAAATGTCAATAGTGCCAAGGTTGAGAAACCCTGTTCTAAAGCAATGATGTCCAAACCTGGCTAGCTTTTTATCAAAAAATCAAAGGAGTCACCTGGTCAGCTCTTTAAAAATGCACATGCCTGAGTCTCACCCCTAAGATTCTGATTAACGAAGTATGAAGAGAATCCAGGTATCGATGTTGTTCAAAAGCTTTCCAAGTGATTCTTCTGATAGGCCAGATTCGAGAAGTATTGTGTGAAAGTAGACTGACTCAGCTCTTGATTCAGAAGAAAATCACCTGGCAAACATCAGCAGTACTCCCAGACTAGATTAATGGCTCCAAGACCATTACCTCTTCTGTTTAATTTCTCCAATTACCTATCTCTCAATTAATGGGGTCATTAAGCACTTAAGACTTGCATTAATTTCCCTCCTCTGTTTTTTTAATTCTTTCATTCTGCATAAATCCAGTTTGCAAATGACTACATCTTGTTAATTATTGTACACTTTCTGTTTACAAACAGAACAAATCACCTAGAAAATGTTTGGCAACTGTCTTTGCTGGCGTTTAACGGGAAATAGCTAAGCAAACAGTGCACTGGCCCTTTCGATGGCGTGGCATGACATCTTATTGTCCATTCCTTTGCTACCAACTAACTTAATGCATGACAGTGAAATTCATTTTAAATGGTTTGAAGTTGCAAACTTTAAGGTCAATATAATTCTGCTGAACTTAGAAAAGTGTAAAAATGAATTAATTTTAACTTTAAGACATTTTTTTCTTTCCATTTTCCATCACCCTGTAATAAATTACAAAAGGAAATAGTTCCTGCTCTTAAGAGACTTAAAAGGTAGTAATGGAAAATAAGACATAAACAAAGTATTTATAAGAAAAGATGTTAAATATTCTAAAAGGATACAAATTTGAGAGGAAGAGCTCCTTCTGGCTGGAGAGATCTGGGAAATTTTCACAGAAGTAGCAGCATCTTTAGCTTTCCCTTCACTCATTCAATCAATGTTTGCAGGTGCCTAGCTCATGCTGGGTCCACCATGGGGATAAGTAGGCACAGCAATCGCTCTATTCATGGCATTTCATTTCCTGGAGACTAATTAGTCAGCCAACAATTTTTTGTCATGTGCCTACTGTGAGCCAAGCATGCGGACAGGTAATGATGATTCAAAATGATCAGTGTTAAGATAGGGGAAGGACATGGTCCACTTAATTACTGGCTGGATTTTTATCACAAGGACTCCTCCTTTATAAGCGCAGACATTTCTCTGACCTCATTTGCAAGGCCAGTGTCATAGAGCACTCACTCACCCTTAGCAATAATTTAATCATGACATTGAATTTAGCAGCCGCTATTTACTAACATGTTGCAATCAA